CATCAACGTCTTGTTCCCCTAAGGGAGGTTAACGAAGGGGGTGAAAGTATCCAAGGTATAGGCCATGCTCCTCATCCACCTCCCAGGAACGGAGACAACGAAAAAGTGCAAAGCCAGAATGTGGGCATTGAGAAAAATGACTTTCTCCCTTTCCCGTAGAAAAGAAGATAGCAATATTGGGAACAACAATTCAAAGATATCCAGGAGGAACACAACCACATGAAGGAGGCTGTGAGAGGTAAGACTCCCGTAACAATGAATGCCCTAGTGCAGCAAACTGAGTCCCCTTTCACTGCTGATGTATTGCACTTTCCCCTCCCTTCGAAGTTCAGAATGCCTCAGATGGAGGAATTCAATGGCATAAAAGATCTCATGCATCACCTCAACACCTATAAGAACCAAATAGAGTTACACGGATACCAAGACCCTGTACGATACTAAGCCTTCACCAACACGTTAAAGGGCTCAGCCTTAGAATGCTTCAATAGGTTGACCCCATCATCTACCTCCTCTTTTAAAGAGCTCTCCATATCCTTTGTGTCATACTTCATAGGAGCTCAAATCTACCGAAAACCCAACTACCATCTGCTGAATGTGAAACAAGGACCCAATGAAACCCTATGGTCTTACATTCAAAGGTGCAACTCAGAATCACTAAAAGTGGACATTCTAGATGAAAAGTTCGCCATTACTACTTTCATCGCTAGGTTAAGAGTACAATCGAAGGACTTGATGTTCTCCATAGCAAAAAATCCACAGGCTAGTATGGCAAAGGTACTTGCTAAGGCAGAGAAGTACATTAATGGTGAGGAGGCTCTCCTTTTTAAAACAAGGAACTTATCTCTGCAGAAGGAAAAAGGGAAGGAAGAAAAGAAAAGGGACCGAAGTTCTAGAAAAGAAAAAGACAAAGACAGGTCTCCATGAAGAGACAGAGACCGTTCTCCCAAAAGAAGGGGAAATGTCAAGGATCACCTAGGTCCTCCGCAGCTAAAATTGTAGCTAAAGTACACACCTCGGCAGCTCATTCCTGTCATAGCAACAATACCCCAAATCCATTATAAAGTACAGAATGAGAAATTCTTGAGGTGGCCACCTGGAATGAAGACGGACCCAACAAAAAGAGATGCGATAAAGTATTGTGAATGCCATAGAGACTATGACCACCTTACTGATGATTGCATCCAACTGAAAAAAGAAATCGAGTTCTTGACTCAATTAGGGCAGCTGCGTCGTTTTGTGGCACATGATAATCAGAATCGAGTTCAACCACCTCCAGCACCTCAGCAACAAGTCCCTATACAACATGAACAACCTCTAGGGGAGATCAAAGTGATATCTGGAGGATTCGCTGGAGGCGGAGAATTCAGCTTTGCCAA